GCATGTGTAAAAGGAAAACTCTTTCTACTTGGAGAGATTAACTCTTACAATGGAATGCCGAAGTGCTATTGGCTATCAAGAATGGAGGCATCTTTTTTATTTTTAATAATTTTCACCTCAAGCAAGGTGATAATGCTACTAACGTATAAGAGGCTACTGCAAGTGAAAGAGAATGAGAAGAATTTCAGAGAAGAAACCGAAAACCCAATGCTAAACAGGAAAAAAGGGATAAACGTCTACTCCTGTTCAAAAGACCAGGGAGGATTGTATACCAGGAGATACGTAAACCTATCTACTTCATTAGAGTGAAATTTAAGAGTAACCAAGTCATCTATACAAGATTTATATTTTCAACAAAATGTCATTGAAGGAAAACAAATCTATGAATAGCTGAAATTTCATGAAATATTTATTCCTTAAAATAAATCTAACAGAATCTGGGTGTGGAAAAATGTATGCTTATGTAAGTTCAAATGTCTACATTTTCAGAACAAAGAAAACCATACTTACTAAGCACCTGGAAAGATGCACTTCCACTTAAGGTCTGTGACCCTATGCAAATATGAAGGGAAAAAAAAACAGAGTTTCTTTTAGAAAAAACAGATTTTTAAAGATGCCAGTCAATGGCTGCTACATATATCTACTACAGTCTGTTGCCTGTGTATGCTACTGTTGTAGTAGCACAAACTCACAATGTTAATAGCTACCTGAGAACTGACCTTACATTTGAGCTTCCAGTTCATTGGTATCCAAATTTCCTTTTGACACTTATTCAAAAATATTAAATGCTTGGGTAACCAAGCTGGTCTGTATGATAAATTCTATGTTTGTCTCCTTTGCACAATTAGTTCAGGTCCATATTGCTTATAAATATATTTTCTATCAATTTGAAGAGTCATTAACATCTAAAACACTGTCTACATTACCCTTTTTTTTTCCTTACTAAAGTTCACTTAGTACATGTCCCCAGAGCCACTCAAGGATTACTGAAAGAGAGTTGTGATATGAAAGTAAGAGAAGTAAGAAGTGATGGTTACAAGTATGAGGTGAATAGGCAATGATTAACACTCGGCCTGAAGAAGTTAAAATTGTAGTGTTCAGAGGAAGCATTCGAGTGGGAGTCTGTTCTGCATAATATTACCTGTTTTTTTTTAAGGAAACATTTAACATTCATTGACTGAGCTGCCAGTGCTGCTTTCAGGTGGAAATTTATAAAATCATTCTCTTAAAACAGTTTTCAGAAAAATAGGTTTCTCAGGTCCAGTAACTTTTATTGTTCTTTCCAGTATTGATGTAGGCTTCCTTGCTAACCTTCTTGATTATACCATCATTTTTTTCTTAGAGTAACATGTGCTATCCATTTTAGTTGTTGCTGTTCTTGAAGGTCTGTAAGTAATACTTCTGTTATCTGGTGCAGTTTTTTGTGATTCTTTAATACCAATTTGCAAGATCCAAAGAAGGATGGTCTTCAACAAGACCCACGGACTTCCCTTGCTCAAAGTCATTTTTAACTGTTGATCTAAGTAAACGATTGTATACAGTTGAGAGTTTAGATATTTCTGAATGGGTTTGGTGCCATGCATGACATCCATACAAAAGTCTTGATTTGATGAAGTTATTTAAGAATATGACTCCAGCTGTCAGGTTAATGTTTTGGTTTTGTATCAATTTGCAGTGCTGGGAAGACCTCCAACTGATTACATGCAACAAATTTCTCTTGATTTACCATGACCAATTTGTGATACAAAGAGATAGGACTGGATTCCCTAGAGATGTGAAATCTTAGAATATCAATGTACAATTCAATAAGCAATCAAATAAAGAGATTCTGTTTCGTCTTTGCAGAAGAAAAGTGTAAATACTTAGCAGGGCCTAAGAGTCATTGTACATTACTCAATTTATCAATCCCTTGTACACGTTTCCCTGTTTATATTAAAACAATTTTCAAGAAAATAGGTTTATCAGGTCCACATTCTTTCCAGTATTGATACAAGTTTCCATCTTAACCTATCTGATTATACCATTATTTTCTCTTACAGTTATATGTTCTATCCATTTTAGTTGTTGCTGCTGTTGAAAATCATCAAGAGATGTGGTTTCTGTTATTTGGCATAGATCTTTGTTATTCTGTAACAACAGTCCATGATATTCAAAGAAGGATGGTCCTGGCTAAGATTAACATGTTTCATTTGCTCAAAGCCATTTTTAATCATTGGCCTGAGAATGTTGTTGTATACAACTGACAGTTTAAGATGAGTACCTTCTTCTTTTATGTGTCATGTGCATTCAGTATGTTGGTGAACATGGCTCTCTACAACTTCCTTTGTAGCTCTTAGTAATCTTTATCTTTTTACAATCCCTCACAATTTGCATTCAGACATCCATTTATACAAGCTCATTTGGGTAGGCTCCACAAAATTAAAACTGATCCTCCATAAGAGGGTTGAAGATGATTTATACAGCTTTCCAAAAATCATGATGCAGCTGATTTAATTACTACTACCTCCTCTTTCATTCATATCACACGTCTCATTCATCCAACCATTATAACAAAACCCTCTACCTTCAGTAGCTTTTGAGTCTTGTATTAAGTGAACTTTCATATAATTTTTTTTTCAGAACAAAAATTATCAGCTTGGTTTATATTCTTGGTGATTTCTGAGGGTATGAATGCTAACTTTGTAGTTTTACTTTGTTTGGTTCAAGATCAAAAGGAGGGATACAACTTGGAGGATTATATTGTTCCAATCCTTCAACTTTTGTTGATGTGCCCGCCTTAAAAATCTCCATTTTAAGTGATTTTGTTTTGTATTATTTTACCTGGGTTGAAATGCTAGTTAACAGTGCTAGAAGGAAATAAGCAACTATTTTTGCCACTAAGCATGTCCACAAAGTTGAAGTAACTTCTTACAATGTTTGGTACTTCTAAAAACTCACTCATCTAAGTATTAATTAGGCTTGATATTGCATAACGTTGGTGCTCAAATGATAATCAGTACTTTTAGTATTGTAGTATTAAGCTAAGTTTAATAAATAAAATAACATAAAAATCCTCTGTAAAGCATCACCTACTTAACATCTCATTAACATTAACACCAGCATTCTTAAGGACAGGTCAATGAGCTAAATTTGTTTCTGAAACCTGATATATGGATAAGTAAAACCAAAGGATCAAAGACCCTGTGCCAAAGCAAAAGACAATCCTACAAGCACACACCAAGCTCAATACAAACCAAGAAAAAAGGGGTGTTGAGGTCAGTTCTCTCTTCCTTTTCACTAGAAAGTAGGATAGGCTGGTCCACTCCACTAACCATCAAAGAACTAATCAAGACAACTGCCTGCAACAAATATGCTGTAAGCTATAAACTCAGCCTCACAAAAAGTATACAATTTGTATTTATAAAAAAAAATAAACATTCCAAAACATTTGCTCAGCATTAATTCAATTTTCAGTGTAAAAATCAACATTTTGCACCAACCCCCACTGTATGATTTGATTATTTACATATACAAAAGCCAATGTCCATAGTTTATAATGCACAAAACATATCATGCTAGGTTTTTTAGCTTTCTTTATCCATATGTAAAGGAAGACCCCTTAAATTTACAAGTGTTTCATAGCTGAAGTACGAATGAACAAAAAACTTTTTTTTCCCCCACAATGGTCAAAAGTATCTTCTCAACATTAAAATATTATGATGAGCAATATTATGTCTTCATGTTGCAGTCAGTAGTAAGAATTAGTTTTAATAAAGCTGTTATATACTGTACCTATGAACACAAATGGGTATGTCCCAATCCTCATAAATACATTGGACACTATTGTAAGTGGGGGTAATATGCTGTCTAAGTAGTCCACTACTAGCAGTGGTTTACCTACTTTGTGCCATTGGCAACTATTGTATATTGTTGATGTTATAAAGATTACCATTTCATTTTCAACCTCCATTTTGGTTATTCCTCATTTAGTAACCTTTTCTAGGTTACAAAAGAAACATGTTTGAATTCTATTTCAAGTTTGTGATGACGCTTTCATGCAACATATTAAAAAGACATGGTTTACACTCTGCCTGATCTTTTAAACAGGAGTAGAGGTTTATCCCTTGTTTCCTGTTTTGGACTGGGTTTCTCTTTCCTTCTCAAGTCTTTTCATTCTCTTTTCCCTTTGCATCTTAATGGCATTATCATCTTACTTGGGGTGAATTGATTAAAAAAATGTATTTGCATATGATATATCTTTTTAAAATAATAGACCTATGAACTAGGTCGCAAGCACTATTTGATTTATATAAGAGGAAATTTTATATGTATATATATTAGGGAAAAATTTATGACAAAGTGGAAAATGTTTTTCTTGAGATGTATTTTGTCCTTTAGAATTTCTTTGAACTAAATTTGTTAATAAAATTTTTTCCACTTTGTCATATATTTTTTTTTCCCCAAAATATATATTGTTATCTCATATATATATATATATATATATATATATATATATATATATATATATATATATGCACTCACCTTTTTGCATGGTAATGTTTCCTAATAACTATGCACTTAGAATTTTTCTTCTCTAACCTTTTCTCATTTCCACTTATTTTTCCACTGTTTCCTTTCATTGTATTTGTTTTTATTCTTCTTTTTATCAAACCAACAAGTTTTCTATGAAGTTTTGTTTTAAAATTCTTATGAACAGATGTCACATCTTTTTAATAACAGATGTCACATCTCTTACATCACACAATCAAATAAGCAACAGTAATGAAAAGCTTCCAAGTTTTGACTCTACCTTTTCTGTTTTGTTTTTGGGACATTCATCTTATTTTCTGAACAGAGTTTTGTCCAATGTCTCCCTGCACCTCAATGTCCTCCCCCTCCTCTGCACCTGATAAGCTTTGTTGTTATCGTGTTTGTTTTTAAGCCGAAATAGAGTTTGAAGATTGCTGTTAATTCTGACATCCATGGAAAATGTCTGATATAATTCAGTTGTGAAAAGCTTTTTAAGATCTTAAGATGGCAAAAGAATTGAAAAGATAGAGAAAAGATTGAAAGATTAGCAAGAGTATGAATGAATGAAAGGAAGAAGAGATGAGAGGGGTAAGACGAGGAAAATAAAAAGGGAGAGAGAGAGAGGGTAGAATATGTATGTTTGAAATAAGAAAGAGATGAGAGGGGTAGACTGAAGAAGAAAAAAGGGGGTAAGAGAGAGAAAGAGTGTGGAATATGTATGAGTGAAATGAGAAAGAGATGAGAGGGGTAGAATGAAGAAGAAAAAAGGGAGAGCGAGAGGGTGGAATATGTATGAGTGAAAGGAGGAAGAGATGAGAAGGATAGTCTGAGGAAGGAAAAAGGAGAGAGAGAGAGAGAGAGTGGAATACATATGAGTGAAATGAGGAAGAGATGATAGGAGTAGAATGAGGAAGAAAAAAGGTGAGAGAGAGGGTCAAATATGTATGAGTGAAAGGAGAAACAGATGAGAGGGGTAGAATGAGGAAGAAAAAAGTGGGTGAGAGAGAGAATGTGGAATATGTATGAGTGAAAGGAGAAAGAGATGAGAGTGGTAGAATGAGGAAGAAAAAAGTGGGTGAGAGAGAGAATGTGGAATATGTATGAGTGAAATGAGGAAGAGATGATAGTGGCAGGATGAAGAAGAAAAAAGGGAGAGAGAAAGGGTGGAATATGTATGAGTGAAAGGAGGAAGAGATGAGAGGGCTAGTCTGAGGAAGAAAAAAGGAAAGAAAGAGAGAGAGAGTGTGTGTAATATGTATGAGTGAAATGAGGAAGATAATAGAGGGGTAGATTGAGGAAGAAAAAAAAGCAAAACAGATGAAGTAAAGTAGCAGATGGTGAATAACAAACTACCACCATCACCACCACCATAACAAGGTGAAGTAGGAACAATAAAACCAGGAGAAAGTGATGTGGATCAGGAAGAATATATTGATAAATAATGGTTCTATTTTTTGTCATTTAAAATGAAGTAAAAAGAATATAAACAAAATATTACTAACAGTAATTGTAATATTTTTTTTAATAGCAGAAGGTGATATCTTCCTTCTACTACTGCAATTAATAATAATAATATTATCATCATCAGTAACAGAAAGATGATAAAATTTAGCAAGATAAAAGTAGTATTTTTGGTGGTTATAGTCAGAACAATTGTAGAAAAAGACAAAGAATGGAAGAATTTGGAAAGATTGTAATCTCTATGAGAAGGATCAGTAGTAATAATAAGAAAGTCAAAGAATTATATGAAAAATATATGATTATAGTAGTCTTATTAACATTAATAAAAATGGATGAGTTACAATGATTGGAGTGGAAAAAATGAAGCATTTAGAAAAGGTCAGAACAAAAAATGAAGAAGAATAATGAATAAAGAATGGAAGATCAGGAATAATCTTTAGGAATGAAGAAAATATAGGCAAAATGAATAAAAAAGAGAGGTTGAAAAGGGAGGGGAAAAGTACAGAATATAACAGAATAAGATGAATAAATTAAGAAGAATGAAAAAAGGATTAATTCAGAAGAATGAAGAAAAAGAATGAATTCAGAATGAAAAAGAATAAATTCAGAAAATTACAAAAGAAAGAAATTCAGAAGAATGAAAAAAGGATTAATTCAGAAGAATGAAGAAAAAGAATGAATTCAAAAGAAAGAAAAAGAATAAATTCAGAATGAAGAAAAATAAAAATACATTTAGAAAAATGGAAAAAGGACTAAATTCCCCAAAATAAATAAGAATTAATTTGGAAAAATGAAAAAAGTATAAATTCAAAAGAAGGAAAAATGGTTAAAAACTGAGGAGAAAAAGAATGAGTCTCAGAAGAAAAGTGGAAAAAGAAAATAAACTGAGAAGAAAAGGAAGAGAAATTATAAAGAAAAGAAGAAAAAAGATACAGAAATCTTTTCAAAGAAGACAGAATAACAAGAATAAGTAAAAAATATTGCTGATAAGTTTGTATTGAAGCTTATTGAATATGTCACAAAATGTTTGAAGACAAATCTAAACCAGATTAAACACTAAAAAAAAACAACTCAAAAACCATAAAAAAGACCAAAGATGCATTAACTCAATGGAAATAAATAAAAAAAATACAATAAGAAAGTATTTCAACGAAACGTTAAGTAAAACAAAGAAAAGAAAAAAAGCAAGGATGTTGAAATGTTCTGAAATGATTTATCAAAAATGTGTAATGGTTTTGTGTGTGGTACAAAAGATAAGATATTTTGGCAGATGTCTTAATGCAGCACTTCTACAAAAATCTATATAAGAACTTGGCTAATCCAGACATAAAGAAGTCAGAGGGATTAGCTTTGATGCAAATCCTCGGATTTACTCATTTTGTCTGTTAATTTTCTCTGGAAATTTTTACTGGAAAATTCTTTATATGTTTTATTTTCCTATTTTCAATTTCATTGCTTCTTTATTTTTTCTTAATTAATTTACAAATTTTCTAATATTTTTGCTTTTTTTTTTTAATGCATTTGTTTTAATTTGTAATTGTAATTCTTATTATTAATTATTTTTTCTTGGAATTATTTGTTTTTGTTTCCTTAATTTCTTTGCCCTTTGTTTATTTTGAGAACATTTCAAACCAAACTGACTTTGAATGAGTTTCCAGTTAATTCTCAGTGACTCCTTCTTTTTGCCAAATTATAAAATTTGTTTCAAGCACAATCTCCAAGACTTTGTTCTAGTTTTCTGAATTGCAAATAAATATCTTTAATCCATTTTTAAGTTTTAAATGAAGCATTCTCCCTATTATTTTATTACTAGTTTTGATTCATCTTATTTTTGTTGCTTTTTAGTTGAAGCATTATTATTATTATTTTATTGCTAGTTTTACTTTTATTATTGTTGCTTTTTAGATGAAGTATTTTCACTATCATTATTTTATTACTAGTGTTGCTTCATCTTATTTCTGTTGCTTCTTAGATGAAGCCTGATCACTAATATTATTTTATTGCTAGTTTTATTCCATCTTATTGTTGCTTTTTAGATGAAGCATTTTCACTATTATTATTTTTTTGCTAATTTTACTCCATCCAAACATCAGTTTTTATCAATTTACTCTGGAATCAATACACTTTTTGATTACCAGAGCAAACATGAAATAAAAAAAGCAGTTTCCAGTAAGATTTGACATTTTTTTTAATTTCATTGATGTTGAAGCCACATATCAATGACTAACATAACAAATGTGGTTATCCTAACTGGAGAATCATCCAGCAAGAAATGACCAATCCAAAGCTGACAAGTCTGATGTGTCACCAAAACATCAATATTAATTTCACAGAAAGTAAATAAGCTATAATAAGAATGAGTAAATATAAAAATTAAACCATAATTAAAAAACTTAATATTTTTCATATTTACAAGATCTGATCAAAAAGTATTGAGACTGTTGATATGATGACAGAGCTAAAGTATGCAAAATGAAGCTGCTTGGCAAAGATTAACCATGAACTCTATCATGCATACATACTAAGTTATAACATTCTGACTTACATTCATTGTTTATAGCACTGTTTGGAAGGAAAGTGTGTAGAGTGTGGTCATCTCTCCACCTCACAGAGGTTCCATCAGTGATCATGGCAGAAGAAATTGAGCAGAAAATCAGCATCAATTTTCTTTTGCTAAAAGCTTCATGATACCCGTGCAGAAACCGATGCAAAATTGCAGAAAGTATATGGAAAGGAGTTTATGAGCCGGACACGAGTGTACGAGTGGTTCAAATGTTTCCAATATGGCCAACAAAATGTCAACAGAGATGCACATTTTAGGAGACCAAACAACCAGAAGAACATGAAAACATTGCAGATATGTGTGCAGCTGTTCAGAAGGAACATTGAGTTACTGTGCGTGAGTTGTCAGAGGATGTGAACATTAGTTGCAGTTCATTTCAGTCAAAATTCACTGAAAATTTGGGTATGAGGCATGTGTCTGCCAAGTTTGTGCTGAAACTTCTTTAAGTTGAATGAAATGAAAAATCGGGTTTCATCTGTGCAGGATCTCCTTGACTGTGTCAAGAAAGATGAAAACTTTTTAAAACGATCATAACAGATGATGAATCATGGGACTATGGCTATGACCCTGAAACAGTCTTCAACGGTGGAAGACCCCAACTTCTCCAAGACTGAAGAAAGCCCAAATGAGTTGAAGCAATGTGAAGACACTGTTGACAGTTTTCCTCAACTATAAGAGCATTGTTCATCATGAGTATACTCCAACTGGTCAGACAGTAAAGAAGGAGTACTACTGTGATGTGTTGCGGTGTTTGCAGGATGCTATTCATCAGAAAAGGACAATATTGCATGCATCCGGTGAGTGGCAATACCACTATGACAACTTACAAGCCTATTCAGCACATCTTGCACAGCTGTATTTGACCAAGGATAACATACTATCACAAAAAAAGGTGTTCTAGGAATTCTTCTATTAATGAGAACAATACCAGATAAAGTGTGTGTCTTCAGAAGGGGACTATTTCAAAGGAGATTAAATGCTGAATTGATATGAATTGTAGTTTTTTTTTTATAGCACCAGTTCCAATACTTTTTGATCGAACCTTATATATTTGTGTGACTTGCTTATCAATAAAATAACAGGAGCCTGAAACAATATTCTTTTAGTAAAAATTCAAATAAGTTTTGATTTGTGTGTGAATGCAGCTCAGCCTTACAGAAGAGTCTCTATCCCACTCTCACTCAATGCAAGCATTGTAATATCTCAATCTTAGCTTGAGAAGTTCCCAGACTTAAAAAAAACCTTGACTCTCTGAAAGGTATTGGTCTGGATAAAATTCCTGTAGTTGTTTTTAAGAACCTTAGCCCAGAGCTATCCTCAATCTTGGCAAAATTGTTTAATTCCTGCTTAAAGGATAAATGTTCTCCAAGTATATGAAAGATATTGGCTGTATTCCCAGTTTATAAGAATGAAGGTGAATGCTCATCCCCATAAAAAAACAACCTCCTGACAATGTTCAGTCTATATTATTCCTAGCATCCTTCTGTAGAACCCCATTTCTGTTTCCTCAAGTTTTTTCTTCATCTGTGAGGAGATTGTCTAGCAATCACTGCCATACAGGAGGACTGATATTACATAACAGTTAAATACACTTTTCTATCATTTTGTAATGAATCTCTCGTTAAAATAATAGTCTAACTCTAAGTTATTTTTACTGTTAACAGGGCGCCTGTCATCAATATAATATTTCAAATTATTGGTAATGAATTCTGATGTTCCACTATGTAAACCTAAAGTTGTCCAGAGAAGGTCCAGTATTAATTTTGATCAACACCAGGATTATGTTTTACTGATGAGGCTGGATCAAGAAAACTTCAGCCTGACACAGTTATTGGCTGAATTTTAATCTGAAATGTTCACCTTATAATGTTTATGATGTAATGGAATAACCTGTCACTCCCATAAGTAGTAACTACCTATAAGTATCTGTAAGTCAACGGACTACAGAGACTAGCTGGGATCTGTTGAGTACGACTCAGACTTACGCGAGAACTACCGACCTTCCAATAGTAGCACTCACTACTGGAGTGACTTGCGACAATCTTGTGCATAACTGTTACCTTTGTTCTTATTGTACTGTTTTTTTTACAATAAACCTTTACTTATTTTATCCACCTTGTTTTCCAAGTATATATTCCTATTATCATAGAATATAACAGTTTAATATTGGGGATTAATATTTACTACTGAATTAAGATGCTGGACAATGTCATCACAGATGAAGAAGAGACCTGAGGCAGCAGAAATATGCTTCTGTGGATACTGCGAATACCATAGACTAAACATGTGAGTAATGAGGAAGTTTTAGAAAAAATGGATACAAAAGGGACACTTACACTATTTTTTTACAGTAAGGTTCACCCTGTACCAAGCCTGGGCCACTCAAAGTAGAGGGTTACATTAAGGGATAGTTTGTATGGATAGGAGGGGAAGATAATGGTTGACTCTAGATTTGAACAGGTTAAGATTGTAGTGATTGGGGAAACATCCTCTAGGGAGTCTGTTCCATAAGACAGTGGTTCATGAGAAGAAGCTGTTTGAGTGGAACTTACTTCTCACCAATGTAATACGGAGGGAATGAGGGTGGTTTGCTACTATGTAAGTTGTATGGTGGGTCCTAGATGTGAAGGTCAGACCTGGTGGAACCAAGGAATGTACTTTGTCCGAGCACTTTCCTTGGATTTAGCAATAGAGCAGTGAGAGGATTGCCACATTCTGCCTCTGAGAGAGAGGTTAGAAAGTAGAAAATAATTTGTCACCCACATGGACTCAGAGATGTTTTTGAACTCTATTGAGTCTTAAAATCAGAAGGAGAAAATTGAAATTTCCTATCTTTTACAGCTGAAAAGAATGACTGTTTCCTTACTAACTCTCCCTGCTCAGCCACTCCTTTACACAAACTTGTTAGGTAGGTTATTTGGGTTTTCCATCTACTCTCCTTGTGAGTGTCAAAGTTTCCAAGCCCTCTTACTCCATTATGTGTCCCAGAAATTTCATTTATCCCTGTGGAATAATTGGCTATGATTAAGTGTAACTGACAAATCAAATTCTAATCAAGAACAAAGACCACTTCACACCTAAGACATACAGGCAGTTATCACAGTGTTACACCAGTGAATCTGGCAATGAAGATGAGGATAATAGTCTGAATAATGTAAATAATGTAAGTAATCATAACACCTCATCTCAGTGATATAGACAAGAATTGAGAAAGTTTTCAATAAATAATAAGAAAAAGAAGAAAAAAACAGGGCAAAAAATACTAAGCAAACACTATATATGAAAGTCAAAACTAGACAAATTATGTATCCTAAAAATTTAACTCTCCATAATTCATATTTAGTTCTGTCACTGCTGAAATTGTCTATTTCTGGTCCTGTAATGGAGTAATTGGCCATGATTAAGTGTAATTGACAAAGATCTCAAATAATAAGAACATGAATAATACTAAGCAAACACTATACATGTAAATCAAAACTAGACAAGGCAACAGTACTTCATGTTCATTTGGAGGAGATTTGTATTCACATGTAAAAGCAATAGAGTCAAACAGTTATAGTATTCTGAGTTCAAGACCAAAATGAACAAAAATATAGAGAATTTTCCATTTTTATTTGTTAGAAAGAAATCCCAGCATGCATCTATAGGATTTGTCTATAAATTTGGGGAGGAGATATTCTTAGCAGTAATTCCTTTAGATTTAACCCAACAGCCTTTTTCTACATATAAATGTCCTTCTTGTTACTCACATGTCTATCAAGGGAATTCTCAGTATCCTTCTGTAGAACCACATTTCTGATTTTAAAGTCTCATGTTCATCTGTGAGGAAACTGTCCAATATTCAGTCATATAAGAAGAATGATATTGCATAGTTAGAAACAATGAAAAAAGTACTTAACTAGTAATCTTTCGTTGCTTCTAATGGCATTTTCCTGTTTCTTAATACTTTGCATAGCTTTAGGAAGGTATGTTTTGCTATCACAATGCACTTTCAGATTTATATAGTAGTTCAATATATTTTTTCTAATGAGATTTTCAAATTTCTTAATACTTTGCTTGAATTTGACATCTCTCAATGCAGCTCACACTTTCAACTATACCACTTTTGTGAATGATTATGGATTCAGTCTTCTTACACTTAATAGTTAGTCCTCTCTTCTTGTTTTCCATTTTTTTTCTCTTTTTTTTAATCAAGTTCACCCCAAGCAAGGCATTAAAGCCACTGAGACATAAATGGTTACTGAGTGTGGAAAAATTAAAAAAAAAGAAATACCACTAAGAAGCGAGTAGAGAAGAAATGTAATCAGGAGGACAGTAGATAGTGATTGATATTGCATTTAAACCTCTGAAGATTGAAGTTGGTTGGAAAGCATGGAGCCAGAAAGGAGTTCCACAGGTGAGAAAAGAAACTGTTAGCACAGAACTTACAGTTACATCTAGTCAACTAAACTGTTAATTGGTGATACCTCATTGCAAGTTTTGTTCTGCGTTTAAATTCATAAAGTCTAGGTACCATAGTGAAGAGCTCATAGTAACAATTTGCCCTGTAGAGTGAGTGGTCATAGTTCAAAGTAAAATAAATGGCAGAACTGCCTAATAAACCGAATTGACACAGTTTGCGATAAGCAATAACAAGAAAAAGAAAAGAACAAGGTAAAAAATAATATAAAGCAAACAATGTATGCAAGGCAAATTAACAGTAATAAGGCAAAGCAACAGTAATATGGCAAAAAGTTCACAAACTAAGAATTGGAGTTAAAATACAAGAGCAAATTTGGTTAAACAAATGCAGTGTTCTGACTTCAAGACAAGACAGGTTGGGAATGAGTCAAATGAGACTGAGAACCAGCCTATTTTATTGTCTCAGAAGAAATCCCAGCATGCATTTGTGTGTTTCTTCCTATAAATTGAGGAGGGGGAAAGTGTTTTACAGTCATTTCTATACAGAGTGGAACCAACATATTATCTTAGAGTTCTTTCTGTTTTCTTTCTGATCTGATTCTACTGTCAAAATAATGTCATCTACATAACTTATTGTGTCACTTTTTGCTATATTGCATTTATTTTCATTATTTACATTTTGTCCTCATTTTTGTCGCCAAATTTATTACAACGTTTCGGCCATTCTTCAGGTGGTTGGAATGTCGAATTTAACCCTTTATTTCACTCACTGGGGTAGACTGTTCTAGTTCCATGTGCCATGTTTGATGGATGTCAGTTATCAGTTATCTCCTGTTAATTTCCCTCTGAAAGTTCTCCACTGCCTTAACCAGGTATTGAACTCACAAGTCACTGGATCTAACCAACGCTTTTATCCACTGTG